TCCCTCTCCCACTCCCCCTGCTTGTGTTCCCTCTCTTGCTGTCTCTCTCTCTGTCAAAAAATAAATAAAATCTTAAAAAAAAAAAAAAAAAAAACTTCAAAAAAAAAAAAAAGATCTGTAATCCTTGCAGCAGCCGTGCGAGACTGGTATAATAATTCCCATTTTATAAAGAAAAGTTAGCGAGATTAGTCTGGTAGGCAGAGGAAAATGGATTTCAGTGTGAACTGGAGGTGAGAAGATAGGTGGTATATTTAAGAACTGAGAAAAAAAGCAGGAAAAATTCGAAGAAATAAATGACAAGATTTGGTGATCACTTAGGTACAAGTGATGAAGGAAAGGAAATGGCTACCATTTTTTGACACTTTTTTGTGAGTCCATGAAGAAAAGAGTAATAGATTGACCATGGGATTACATCTGTGAGAGTCTAAGAACTGCGACAGGCATCGGGGTACAGAAAAAATCAGGATGATGGGATTCTCTTTTAAACACTGGCACTTGGGGGTGCCTGGGTGGCTCAGTCGTTAAGTGTCTGCCTTCGGCTCAGGTCGTGATCAGCGGGAAGCCTGCTTCCTCCTTCTCCCTCTCTCACTCCCCCTTGCTTGTGTTCCTGCTCTCGCTATAAAAAATAAACATTTGGCACCTGAAAATGACGTAAGGTAGAATGCTTCAATAGATCTGCCCTGCATGCAAAGTAACAGACTGGAATCTCAGTGTGTATAAGGGTTAGAGATAAAGGATGGGGCAGAGGAGGGTGGAAGAGCCCTCCAAAGAAGCAACAGAGAGCCCAAGACAGAGTCAAGGAAGAAACATAATTTTAGGGCCCAATCAAGACCAAGAAGCCTGCTTTTAAAGAGAGAACAAGACCCAGCAAAGCACTTCTTGACCTCTTAGCAGCCTTTAAAAGTTATTCACAGTTGCCTGGAGACCTCCCACATACGAAGAGGAGTTGGCCAAGTACTTCCATTTAAGAGACACAAACATGTTGTAATCAACTTGTACATTTAGGATTAAAAAGGACCCTGTGGCTCTCTATGTTGAAAATTACAGAAGGGCAAAAGAATATATATGTACATCAGGGGAAAATGGAAGCTCCACTCTTAATTCAAAATAGTACAGAGCAACAGTTAACTGGGAGATAAGGCAAGCAGAGGAATATCAGGAACATCTCTGAAGGCCAGGAGGTCACCAAATCTGGGACTTGTTCTTTATGCCATCAATCAGAATGCTATCAAAATTCTAATCTCAGTCATCCCATTCAAGGAGAACGTATCTCCCTACAACCCTAAGGACTGACTTCCGGGAAGCCCCATCTTCAGGAACCTCTGTGTCATCCACAATCTGCTTTGATCAACTAGTGACCTCCTCAAATTTTATGGTCCTTATTTTACAAGGGTGTTTCCAGGTGACTTGACGACTTCCCGAGAGATACCAAAAAAAGATTGAATTGGGGAGCAGCAGCTTTCTGCTAGCACCCAGGACCGTCACTTGGAGTGCTAATAAAAAATAAAATTTCCGGGATGCCTGGGTGGCTCAGTTGGTTAAGGGTCTGCCTTCTGCTCAGGTCATGATCCTCCTGGGATCGAGTCCCTTATCAGGTTCCTTGCTCAGCAGGGAGTCTCCTCTTCCTCTGCCTGCCAGAGCACTCCCCCTGCTTGTGCGCGCTCTCTCTCTCTGACAAATAAATAAAATCTTTAAAAAATACAATTTCCCAGGTCACTGAGTTGTATCTTAGGAGACTCCCATGATTTGGCAAATCTGGCAAGCTACACTAGAAGATCCCTATTTAGTATACCTTCTGGGCACCACAAACTCCTACATGTTCCGTGATCATCCAGATTCTTTAAATCTACCTTTAGGTTCAGGCCACTTTACCCCTCTGGATAAAAACATTCTTGCATCTTCTAAATCACCCACAGAGGCTTACCATCCCACTCCAGGGAGACTCTCCAGGGAGAGTGTGTATCATCCCACTGGACACTAACCCACAAAAAGACAACTCTTGGGAATTATAGACACAAGTTAAAGTCTATATTGAACTGTATTATACCAAATGGAAGGACTTCTAGAAAGTGTCTGAGGGAGGAGAAAGGAAACTTCCTTTCCCATCATACACCTAATGCAAGAGCTTCAAAGGCTTTCAACTCGAGTATAAAAAAAAAATACATATACACATATAACCACACGTGCACATGCACACAATCTTTTTTTAATTTAAATTCAATTAATTATCATATAATGTATTATTGGTTTCAGAGGTAGAGGTCAGTGATTCATCAGTCAAACCCCGTGTTCACACAATCTTTTTTTTTTAGGAGGGCTATAACCTTGCAAGGTTTATGGTGTCATCAATTATCTCATCATATGTGCTCCCCAAAATTATGGAACAGAGGAAAGACTATGTGAAAAAATCTATAACAATAGTTTTTGAATCTTTTTATTAGCAATAAGAAAAAAATATGTTAGATAAACATAAAAGAGAAACTTAAGGAGAATTAAAGTCCCAAATTTAAGTTTTATTCTTCTAAAATGTCTCTAATTTTGGAAATAATTAATTTCAAATTTTTATCCTTTTCTCATCTTTACCCAGAAAGAAAGGAAACCCCCTAGTTCCTAAGGGGGTAAGAAAGCAGTACCAATAAGAAGGTAGTAATTATTACACTATCTCTGTAATGACTGATAGGACCAAGTGTGCATTTCCAAAGTCAAGATACCAGATGAAAGACCTAAGTGAGCTAGTCACAGTCCCAAGAGGCTTCTAAGGGCCCAGACTTACTGCTGGGAAAGGAGTTTTCTCCTTAAGCTTTTGCTTTAGGAAAATGTTTCAGTTTCGTACAAAAGCCTGTTGTGATCATTTAAACACCCACCACTTCATACATTAACTTGATTTGATTTAAAAGAAAATTCTTAAAAGATGAGATTTTCTGTTTTTACAAACGCTGTATCTATTCATGCTTCAACATGAAGGTCACATAAATCAAGAGCAAGCCTCTAGCTGCAGCTCTTCACTCTGAAGTAAATAGGAGAAGATGTAACAACACTATAAAGAGGTAGCTAATAGTAGAGGTAAACACTCAGTTGAAAACTACTGTTACCTGGCCTTTTCAGGATGCTGTAACAACCATGCTGAGTCTGACCTTTTCATGAATTCCACAGTTAAGAGA